AAATGTAATATGTTGCAGCTTACCAGTCCTTAGATGTGGTGGCTGCATTAGTTTTCTTTCAGTCTGTTCCCTTTATTTTTACCTGGTAATGCTGCAGATAAGGGACTTTCTGAACAAGGGTGGTTATTCTCGCTCCTCCACTGGTTGCCCCCTAGGCTGGACTTCAAACATTTACAAAAGAAAGCTAAGATTGTTTTTATGTGCTTGCTGGAAATGTTCTCGGTTTGAAAAATTTAAACTAATGCAGCCACCACATCGAAGAACTGGTAATCTGCAAAATATTACATTTTTGTTCTTGGGTTTAATGTTCCTTGGGACTTTGTCACATTGTCCACTCGGGCAAAGCATCTGAGTCTTTCTAGCCCACCCCTCAAATCGCTTGTACTCGGCTCTTCTGTTACTCCAGGAGTCAGCACCTGTGTCAGATGGTATCGGAGCTTACACAGGGTTGATGATGTTATTGCCCTCATCAGTTGACATTGTTATGGACTAGTGATTGACCATTCAGGCCCAAGCATGGCTTCTGAGAAGGAGGTTACACAGTCTCCCTATACTCGAGAGTTGTGTGGGAATGCTGGGAAGGCGCATAGAAGTGGGTGGTGAGTAGGCTTTTAGGAGACTTTCACTTTGTCCTCAATGAGAAAAGGGACGGCATACTAACCAACTTCCTGAGATCAGAAGGAAGGAAACCTTCCAGCACTACATATTTAGGCAATGAATACACCCCTGCCATGCCCCCAGTTATGCGGACCATTAAGAATTTCTTTGCCAAAAATGATTGGCAGCCCATACAAATGAAACTGTAATTCCTGGCAAAGATTTGTATGTTTTTTTGTTTTTTTAAAGAATGGGGAAGTGTTAGGTTTTTCTTTACACTTTTGTCTCTAGTTTATGATGTACACGACTGAAATCTGGCCATGTTGGCAGTAAACGCCAACGTTCCTTTAAAGGAGAACTATGAGGTGAGTGATTTCCACTCATCCTTATAGTTAGAGCAGAAACGAGCACCAAAACGCTCACTTCCCAATCGTCTCCCTGCAGTGATCGGTGACAGTCAGTCACCGCTCCCCGCAGGGATTCTCCCCTACCATCCCTGATCAGACACCGCTGAGTGGAAGAATGAATGGGGGAGGGCACAGCTGGCTCGGGATCTGTCCCGGCTGCGGCACTCTCTGTAGCGGGCTATTGCCTGCGATATACTTACTGAGCTTTGGGTCACGGGAGGAGGTTAGTATATGTCCTCCCGTGACCCTATAGAGAACTATGGGGAAAAACATAATTCCATAGTTCCATTTTAAGTATTCTTTTTTTCCAGAATGGATACAGGCAGCATTTTGGTGCAATTGGAGTTTTGCAATAGCATAGGAAAAAAAAAAAAAACAAGCACACTATATACACTTTTATATATAGGAATGATGGTACTGCCTCAAACTCTACTTTTAGATCCTCCAGTTAGAGAAAACTGTGGTGCACCAAAATCGTTTTCCATAAGAAGTGATACATTTTTCTCAAAAGAAACCTGCCACTAGATAAATATGGAGCTTGCTATTGCTGATCACCTCATCTACAGTGCTAACTGCCTGGCTTGTATGTTGATGTTTTAGCTTCAGTAACTTCTGAGTCACTGGCTTGGAACAAGTATAGAAATAAGGAACTTAATATTGACCTTCATTTGCTGCGGGACCAGGTCATTAGCAGAGAGGCCCACCTCTCTAGTCAGCATCTCAGGTGTGGTGAAATGGGGTGTGCTCTTATATGTTCTCTTGTAGTGTGTATTTAAAACAATGGCAATTTGGAAGGAGATCAGAGTCTAGACATTATGACTATTATGACATTTATAAAAGCCCAGAAAACAGCGGATCATCCTCATCTTCAAATACCCAAGCCTCTCTCTTGTTGACAAACAGTGGCTTAAGACATCATAAAACTCCATAATTAGGAAAGTTATAAAAGACTCACTATGTGTAATGCAACAACCAGTTCCTCTAGCTGGATTTTGTACACAATCACTTTTTTGTAGATGGCAACTTAAAGGAAGTCCCAACCCAAGAACAAAAAAAATGTATATCTTCCAATTTACCAGTCCTTAAATGTGGTGACTGTATTTTCATTTCTTTTTCTTTTTTCTTCCAATTTATTTGTTTTTTTTCCTTTTTATTTTTCAGCTGGTGATCCAGCCGGTGTAACACTTCATGCCCTGAAGTGAAACTTCGTACTCACTGTATCTATGGAGAGCAGCATTGTCACTGTAGGAATAGAAGTGTTTTAGCACTACAGGACATCTCCCCCTATACTCATCTCCTTTAATGTAGGCAGGACATGTTGTTTTTTTTAATTTCACACGGGCAGGGTTGAGAATACTGCCTAAAATAACAATGCATTTTTGGCAGGATCAACAGGAATTGATTTTGCTTTCAGACAGATTTAAATATACAATTGAACATCTTTTGTTATGAGACCAAAAGGGAGCAAATAAGAGAAACTCTTTAAGTTTTGCATACACATTAAACCGTAAGACAGGCACACAGGCTCATAGGCAGTCTGTACTTACCCTTCTCTTTCAGTTTCAAAGTTAACTTGCTCAAAGCTATTCATGCTTCCTTTCCTATCACAACCTGATCATGCTCAAGCAAAATATTAATTGCTGGCTCAGTCATGCATCATGGAAGCAGAGAAAGTGACCCGTACCTGGCTGGCAGTACCAGATTTTTGGTGGCAACTGCAGAGTGCAGCAGTGGGGGAGAGGGTGGAGGTATGCATAACCTTCTTTAGCTGGCTGCTATTAAGTAATCCTGGAATGTTGTCTATTCTGGAATAGTATAGAATTTGAATGTAGCATACAATTTTAACTGTACAGAAAAAACTTTTCCTGCATTTTAAACTTAAAGTTAATATTGTGGATTTTTTTTAACATAGGTGCTGCATTCTTAAAAGAGAACTATAGGGTAAATGTTTTTCCCTATAGTTCTCAAGGGTCACGGGAGGACATATACCAGCGTCCTCCCGTGACCCAAAGCTCAGTATATCGTGTGCTACAGCTCGCAGTATACTGAGAGCACTGCAGCCGGGACGGATCCCGACAATGCTTTCGAGATCCATCCAGCTGCGTGAGTGACAGCTGGCTCTGCATATCTAGAGGCAGAGCCAGCTGTACCTGCCCCCTCCCCGTCTGTTCCTCCAGTCAGCGCTGGAGGATCGGAGCGGGGAGGGGGAATCCCTGCAGGGAGTGGTGACTTACGGTCACCGCCGTCTGCAGGGAGATGATCGAGAAGTAAGCGAGCGACGGTATGCGGTCGCTCACTTCCAGATCTTTTGAGCCGACGTGTGACAGTTTAGGTCGGCTCGAACTATGTCGGCTCTTCTGATTTTCACCTCCATAGTTCTCCTTTTAATTGAAAAAAATAATGGTGCATATGAATATTTTTAGTTCTTACTTTCAGCCAGCAGGTGGCACTTTAGTGTCTTTCCACATGTTTTTTAGGCTATTCTTACCTGCTTTGCTAAAGTCTAAAAAGTCAAACTAGAGCTTTCACAACTGAATTAATCAGAGCTTCCTCCTTCCCTACTCTGCATGCTTTTTCAAATAGATCCTTTAAATATTCCATATACATAGTGAAGAAAAAAAATAAAATCTGCATATAGTTTCTGTTTAACCACCTATGCTAATTTAACACCTGATATACCATACATACCTTTTTGGACACTGGAGCTCAGTGCTAAAAGTGCACAATTATGCCCTGGTATATAACAGTGCCAAGAATTGATTTCCAAATGCTAATGATTTAGTGTTTTGTGTAGTGGAATCTTACTAAGAGCTGTTCTTTGTCATCTGTTTATGTTCATATTTCACGCTTTTATCTGTTTTGAAGGCATCAGTAAAGTGTTAGACTGTAGTTCCAATGTCTAATTTTACCTTTGTTATGGTAAAGATAAAATATTGTGAGGGAGAGCCGTGCTGCCAATGAGGCGACAATCCAATTCATTGGCAGTCAATAGGAAAACTGTCCATTATATTGGTGGTCAGGGGAAAAATGTCTTCCCTTTATAGTGATTAAAATGACACCTTTTTCATACAGCTGAAAAGATCATTGATTTAATGCCGCTGGCTCTGCCAAGTGGTATTGGCCCCAGAGCTTGGCCATCACAAACAGATGGGAGATAAATCAGCTACAGCTCAAGCAGCCCTAGGGTTCCATGAACCCTGGTTGAGAATGGCTGCTATATAATATTCCCCCTTCACTCTTCCCAGGCAGCTACATATAAAGTTATGTAAGGAGGTAATTGGGTAATAACACAACTACCTTTTATATGACCAAACCTTTTTACGTTTTTGTCACCTGACAGCACACCTAATATATTGCCAAAAGTATGTAGACACCTGTAAAAATTGAGTTGAGGCACTCTCAGTGAAGGGTGCTGTTGTGGCTACAGCTTACAAAAACATTTTAGAACATTGGACCCTTCCCACTATATGGCAACAGTTTAGGGAAGGCCCTTATTGCTTCCAGTGTGACTGTGCCCATGTGCAGAAAACCAGCTGCATAAAGATATTTTGAGACATTTTGCCATTTGCACAGAGCCCTGACCTAATCCCTACTGAGAAACTTTGAAAGGAACTAATATGGCAGTTGTGAGCAAGGTCTTCTCATCCAATATTGATACCTGACGTCCTAAATGTTCTTTTGCTAAATGGGCACAAGTTCCCGTAGGCATGCTCTTAAGATCTTGTGAAAAGCCTACCCAGAGACAATGTGGGTGGGGAATCCAACTCCTTAATTTCCATGGTCTTGGTTTGGGATGTCCAACAACTTCATATAGGTGTGATGGTTAGGTGTCAACAAACTTTTGGCCACATAGTGTATCCTTAAGGAATTTATGGACAAGGATAACCTGTTTATTGACTAAAAGAAATGAACTCTTTGATAGATATTTCACTTCTGATTTGTATGCTTTAAGTGGTTTATAAAGAACAGCACTTAACTGGTATTTTTCTCTTCTAGGCTGTAAGTACGTTGGCGGATGTTGCCTGCAAATGCCATGGCGTGTCTGGTTCTTGCAGCTTGAAGACTTGTTGGCTGCAACTTGCCGACTTCCGGAAGGTAGGAGACCTTTTAAAGGAGAAATACGACAGTGCAGCAGCTATGAAACTCAACACCAGAGGGAAACTTGTGCAGGTGAACAGCAAATTCAACTCCCCTACCACGAGCGACCTGGTTTACATTGACCCAAGTCCGGATTATTGTGTTCGCAATGAAAGCACTGGGTCTTTAGGAACCCTGGGAAGGCTGTGCAATAAAACGTCGGAGGGCATGGACGGCTGTGAACTTATGTGCTGCGGTAGAGGTTACGATCAGTTCAAAACTGTTCAGACTGAGAGGTGCCACTGCAAGTTTCACTGGTGTTGTTACGTCAAATGCAAGAAATGTACCGAGATCGTTGACCAGTTTGTATGCAAGTAAGACGCAAACTGTGGACTACGAACAATATTGAATATCCGCATTAATTTATAGAGGTCACTTAGGAGTTGCAAGCATACAGCAACTGGATCCATTCTCTTTAATTCACTCAGCCGCTCTTGGGGGTAACATGGAAAAAAAAAGAAAAAAAAAGAACAAAATAATGGAAACGATGAACTGAAAATATTTATTTACAGAAATAAAGACTTTTTATAAGTATATAATTAGATAAAGACCGAAATGCACGGGATTTAGAAAATGTATAGTAGGTAAAGACAAGTTTATATGGAAAAAGAGAGTAAAAAGCAAAGACAGATGGCCAAAGACTTTTTTTAAGATTGTATTTAAGCGGTTTATGGAGCTTTCACTCCTAAAATGCTCAGAATTCTGTCCATCGGATACAAAAGGTTTTTTGTTTTTTTTTCTCTGGCAACATTTTTATTTTCTTATAAAAAAAAAAAATACTATTTGATGTGTGATACCTCTTGAAAATGTTGGGATTGCACTTTGTATTTTTACATAAAGTCTTATTAGTTCAGTTTAACATATTTCTGTTCAGCCAGCTGAAAATTTACATGAGTCAGATCAAGAATACAAATTACTTTTGTAATGATCACACACTTTTTTTATACTGGTTAAAAAAAATAATGGGAGAATATCGATCACCTCTATTTTGCTAGTTTGTTAGGTTGTATTTTATTTTCAGTTAAATATTTCATCTGCTTGACCCAGATAAATGGCTGCACATTACTCACAGAAATGTAGTCATATATCATGCTGTACTTAGATTAAAATATTTAAAGATCCACTTCTTTATGAGCTAAAGCCATTTAAATAATACAAATTCCTACTATGCAGTTTTTTTTAACAAGTCATATTTTACATAATATTAAAACTATACACTAAACTTTACATACCATATGGTAACATTTATGGGAAGTTGTGGTCTGCTGTTTTCTATTTCAAAGCTTTTGTGACTATATGTATATATCCCTAAATATTGCCAGTAATTAAATGTATTTATTTACCTAGGCAACTTTTCCTTTTTATTTCAGTGACTTTTTAAAAAAAATCATTTTTGACTTTTTTTTTTTTTATAATGACACATTATACAGCCTCTTAATCCTTAGTGTCAGTTTTCAAAGGGCTTGTTCTGAACACATTAGAGCACATACTGATAAATGGTTCATTATCTGTAGGGTCTAGTGATAAGTGAGAGGCACAAAGGGTGAATTTCACAAAATTTAATGCACTTAAAGCCATTCCCCCCCCCACGGAATTACCTCCTTTTGGAATGTCATTAAACATAAGCAACATTTTTTAACAACATGGTTTAAAAAATTCTTAAACTTGATAGTCTAAATTTGTATCATCCCAAAACTCCACAAAATTATTTTTTCTTCATAGCTGTGAAGTTTTTTTGTGTTCATTTCAATTTCCATCAAACCATGTAACTGTACCCCCCTCCCCCCCTTTACACTAAGCATA